AAACGATCTATCTGCAACAGAAGGAAGAAAAGGGCGGGATTATGATCAACCTTTCATAGCATTACCACAAAATTACAGCAATAAAATAAGCGAGTCAGGAAAATGTGGCAAATGTAAGGGAGGTTAGTCAAAAGTGTAGATAACTGTTAAATTTCCTTGTGTGTGTACACACGTCTTCTTATGTATACGGATCTTTTTGTGTATACATATCTTCTTGTGTATACATATCTTCTTGTGCACACATATCTTCTTCTTTACGCTACTCCTGGAATGCCTCATGGTAATTATATCAGTGACCTAAATAAAGGGACCATACTTCTTTCTTCTTCTGCCTTTCTAGCCCCTAATGGAGCATAGGCCCTCAACCAACTCACGCCAAGTCGTTCTATCTTTTGCTATCGCATGCAGCTCTCCCCATGTCCAACCCATCTTTCTAACTTCATTCTCTAGCTGCCTTCGCCATGAGTTTTTTGGCCTTCCTTTATTCCTACGCCCTTGTAGGTTCCAATGCAAAGACGTTTGAGTTATATTGTTCTTTATGTGTCTATATGTGTGTCCTCTCAAACGCCAGCGTCTTTTCTTCACCTCTTGGTCCACTGGAGTACGCTTGGTTCTCTCCCAAAGCTCTACATTAGTGATTCTATCATGCCTGCGCTGAATAGAGGGAATTAAATGCTATGCTAGAATAAAAAAGGGGAGCATTACCTACTTTACTTTATTCTATATTGCATTTGCATGTTAATAGAGTTGTTGCCAAATTTGGACACTATACAAGTTCTCGTTGAAGAATAGCAAACGTAATTCAGAACTGGTGTTGTAATTTGCTACACGATGAAGGAGATAATCAAGATGCTGTCCGAGCGCTAAAGGTTTTGTCCGAATTACGATGGGGATCATGGTTCGAATATCAAGTTATAAACATTACGGTACTTCACTTAACCATTTATATATATATATATATATATATATATATATATATATATATATATATATATATATATATATATATATACAGACACACACACACACACTGCGATTGCTGTGACAGAAGCGATGTTATCGATGCCTGCGCTGCACTTACCGTACCGAGGAGAACGCCAAAGGGCATGACTCTGTATCCTTGTCTTGACTGATGGACAAGGAGGTGCAGTCTGGAGCTGCAAGAAATAAACATTTCGCTTAGAGGAATGTACATTTCATAAATCAACATAGGACAGGTATCATTAGTCGTTTTACACTTATGGAGATAGGAGCACCTATGGATCTGTCCGGAGTGCTGTTGTGATGATCCTTACTCGTCACTAATCACTTACCATTGATATATAAAGTTTTAGAACTGATTAATGTTTGAATATTTGTCAACAATTCCAAATTGAATCGCTGTGTTAGAGATACACATATTTTGTTGTTTACGACAGAACGCTGATACAGATGGAGATGGAATTGTTATTACTGCAGAACTTTCTGCCACATTTCCAGGTCTTAGCCTTGAGGAAATAGGTGAGTATTTTCTCACTCACTTCAACAGTCAAGTGTAACAGACGGCCACTTTCCTGTCGATACTGCGTTGATGAGACTAAACTCTGTTTTCTTGTTTGAGACCAATCGATGCTAGAATGTGTTTCTAGGAAGGGCTACAGGGTTGAGCGCAAAAAGTAACATCAGAAATAAGGCCATACCAGAAAAGTCAACACAGAACTATTTCTAAATTACATACAAAGACAGCAAATCAAATTGTTTGCCTATTTAGAGAGATTGTTTTGTGATTCTATACCATGCAAGGCACACATCAAAAGAGAAGAAAAACTAGATCACGAGGTAGATTAGAAACGGAATGGACAGATAACATTGAAAAATCTCTACAACTGAACGATGTGTCTATGGTCGAGGCATAATATTTTATCTCTCTGAACATCCAAAGCGGTAAAAGAGAAAGTCAATAATAATAATAATAATAATAATAATAATAATAATAATAAAAATAATAATAGTAATAATAATAATAATAATAATAATAATAACAATAATAATAAGAAGATGAAGAAGAAGACGACAAAGGGGAAGAAAACAAATATTATCGCCATATATCTTACGTGCTTTGTATTGTAAAAAATGTAAACCACTTGGTACTTCTTGTAGTTAAAAGAACATATTTAATTATATTTTAACATAATTTAGGAAAACGTATCAATATGTTTCACACAAATTGGACAAAATGTGTTAGTATGTTGTAGCAAAATATTTTAATATGCGAATGTTTTATGGAAACAAAATTGTTTTTAAAATTGTACCAATTCTATCTGTAAGTTATTGTATAAAATATATTAAAAGTATTGTTTAATTACAATTCGAGAAAATGAAGTTTATTATCATAATTCTTGCAAAAAAATTTATTTATTTTTAATCTGAGATGTTGAAAAGGTTCTACAATGTACTTGAATACCAGAAAATTCTTAAAAGCTATATAAATCCTATACTGATATACAAAATGGAATCATGGACAGTTTTTGTGTGTGGAAGAGGCGGATTTGGGATTTTATATATGAATGATGAGAATACACTGGACAGATAAAAAGAGCAAATGAAGATGCGTTGAAAAAAAACTGACTGACGAAGAGAAACCTGCCCTCATCAGTAAGAGACAATCTACATTCTTTAGTCATATGATGAGAAGGAGAAAAGAGGAGTACATAGTAAAGTAAAAGTTCCCTTTTCACGCCTTTCGGCGCATCGGGCATATGGGCAGAGCGTCCCATATTTTTACAGACCATCAGCACTCTGTGGGTAATGTGGTCAGCATTACGCCGGCTGTCTTTACTTTCCCAGGACAGCCCATCCTGGTACCCATTTTAGGCTGGGTCGACCTGCGACGTCCCATACCACGACAAAAATCCACGCAGCCTGCAGTGGGTTTCGATCGTGGTATGCTGGCTTACGAGTCGGACTCGCAACGCCTTAGCCACGGACGCCGCGGAGTACATAGTGACGGTTGGAAATGATGTGAAGGGGAGGAGAGGAAGAGGGGAAACGAGAGAAAAGATGCTGGACAGTCTGACATAATGGCATGGAAGATCATCTGTGTTATACTTGATAGAAAGTACACGCACATAAGGTTGTGGATAAGACATGACTACCAACGCCTACGGTGTGGAATTTGAGGAAAGGAACCAGAAAATATTTTAAATTTGTTATCAGAAATGTTCAAAATCAGTCAATGTGTGTTATCAGAAACGATAAATACACGTTTTCTCTTTCATTGTGTGCCCTACAGGTGCATTTGAGTCCTTCTTTGACGGTGACAACATTTCGGGAATTTCCGGGGCAGACATAGAAATTACAATTCAAAAATATGACACTGACGGGAATGGATACATCGATCCATCGGAGCTTGACGTGGCTGGGTAAGTCGGTTGTTTTAAAGATAACTTTAGTTTTATAACAGACAATGCTTTGAAGATGTAAAGTGTCATTATCATCATTATTATCATAATGATCTAATTGTGAAATGTATACTTCATACAGGGTTCGCTGTACATTCGTCATTTCCTTAAGACAGACGTGGCGAAGGCTAATGACAGAACGTGTACAATTTGATCAGCAATTTGATAAACACAGGCTAGTGAGACTGCTGCAACGAGGATTGACAAGGAGATCTGGCCGATCCTGGCCGCTCAGTGGAAAGGCAAGACGGACATATAGTCAAACTGCTATTGGTACCATTGGCGTTGAAATGCTGCCTTTGCTGCTGAAGATTTGGACGGAGCGCTTATTAGACTGCCCAGATGGACGTGATGTCGTTTCAAGAATTAAATTACATCAGTCTTCATTCCCCTCTATTTCATGCAACTTCATCGATACCTTAAACGGAGTCTATTTTAACAGCGTTAACTCTTTGAGTACCAGGGGGTTTAGCAAATGAGAGTCATAAAATCGGAGCATCATGCGTTCATTGGGCTTCTAGGTTGGAACCTATGAACGTATGATGCGTTCCTTGGAACTCGAAGAGTTAACCTCTCGCATTAACGTTAGACGCCATCGTTTTCTTAATTCAACTTGTTTTCTGTTTTGATGGTTCTCTGTGAGGTTCTATTTATTATGTTCCTGATACCTTCTAATTTTTCTTGTTGTATAACTTCACATACCAGCTTTTGTGCAAATATGTTGTGGATTTCTTCCCCTTTAATAACTGTCTGCCAACTGATTTACCTAGCCTGGTCGGTTCTGTACCATTTGGTGGTGAACTGATATATGTCAAGCCAGATAGAGTTAGGGCCTTTTTGGGAGCGCATGAAGAGTGCGGAAGCACACATAGATCATTACGGTCGGAGGAGAATGGCGCTGCGGGGAGTCACCAGATCTCTGGCTAGCACTTAACGTTCACAGTAGAGGCAAAAAGTACAGGGAAGGGTACAGAAAGACAGGGGGACACCCCAGATTTTAGATTCCTGAAATTGTATTGCAAAGGAACTTTCCCCCTTCTCCTCCTCCTCTCTTTGCAGTGCCAACATTGTATAACATTGCAGAAAAATACTGATGTGTGTGTGTGTGTGTCGGGGGGGGGGGGGGGGGAGGGGTCATTTAACTTTTATTTCTTATGACAAAAATGCGTGTAGTATACGGACTATTTGGTATGCGAACTGTTTGGTATACTTAGGTTTGGTATACGTCAAAGGATCAGGAATACGTACGTATGCCGATGTACCATTATATATGAGTTGTTACACTATATTTTCCTGAGGCTGTTAAATGCTGAATCTGCATTGTCACCAGTAATGTGTATGTCACATGAGATCGGAGGGACTAATTCCGTTCTTCACTGCCTTTATTTCCATACCAAGGAAATTTTGTATAGTAAAAAAAAAAAAATAATAATTTAAAAAACGAAAATGCTTACATGTCTCTTTTCTTCCTCAGGTCCCGCGGAACTAAGACACAAGGAGTGTAAGCTTCGTCTCACTTGTCATTTCTGCAATATTCTGAGCAAAGACACTCCATTATAGATTCAAATGCAATGTTTCTATTGGTTAATAAACGTTCAGAATTTGCAGCAAAGTAACTTGTCTAGTTTTTTTGTTTTTTTTTTCTGTTTGTGTGCTTGATTTCTTTTGAATTGATCGAACTGTTGATAAACTGATATACTTGGTTGGTTCTACTGAATTGTACCTGAGTGTAAAGTAAATGTGTAAAGTGTGTAAAGTAAAGTAAATGTAGGTTGTATAAACTAAAATCTCTCATAATCCCACTCTGAGGACTATAGTTCTTTGCCTATCCTTTACAGGACATTGCAGAACCAACCCCAGCATTTTTTGGCTGTTGTGGTTTTCCTTAGCAAGTTTACGTCCAGTAGTTTGTCATTGCTTCTGGACGGTCAGCTTCTCTATACCACTGTCGAAACCAACGCAAGGCGCATGGTCTGCAGCTGGGATTGATCCCGGCACCCCAGCATTGAAAAGCCCGTTCGCAAAGCCTAAGCCACTAAATTGACCTCTGAAGACTACAGGTATAAATTATCAACTAATTTTTTTTGTAAATACAGCTGCTGTTCCGAAAATATTAATTTCGTTTCTCTACCGTAGGGATTCGGTTAAGCAACTAACCTTAGCTCCTAGGCCAACCAAGCATAACATGGGTCTCAGAAAATATTTACAAGAAGTAAACGCAACCGATATGAACTTGACCCCCCACCAACCACCAAGTGCTGATCGGTCTATCAAAATACGAGTTTTGTATCGTATATTGGATGCGACAGTAGCGCTAAATGGTCCGTTGTTAACATTGCTGACTAAACAACTGAATTCTTCTGATGATTTACATCCAGAACTTTCCCCGGACTATGCAGACGGGGAATATGAAGAACAAGCTGATGATAACAATATGGTTGTATATTAGTATTGTCTCTCCACACATTGAGCATGGCTGAAGTTTACAAGGTAAGTAAAAGACTGATTTAATATGGCAAAAACAAAAATGTCATATATCAAGCAAAGCATGGAATCTAAAGAGACAACATGCATCTATGATCTGGCAACTTTTCATCACTGCTTGATAAGCAAACAACAAAGAAGACGCCATTTTTTGACCTAAGAGATGCATTGTTACGTAATCAGCACGGAGCAAAAAGCCTACATTAAATTATTTTTAAAACACAGAAAAAGTGCCATTGAAACAGTTCTATTGATTCAACAAGCTTATGGGGATAATTATTTATATTTTCAGGTGGTATTCACGATTCAGAAGTGTTGTATAAATGATTACTAATGCACCTAGACCTGGACGCCAAATTTCCGTTTGTAATGGTGAACTCATTGCAAAAGTCAGAGAACGGATACAAAAAGATCATTGTTTTACTGTTAAAAAAATGACAGATGAATCTGGTGGTAATAGAGATACTCTTCATAAAACTTTAGTGCAAGATTTTGACAAGAAACAAGTTGATTGCCGGTTTGTACCAAAAACATAAGCGGGCTGAGTACCCAAGAGACATCATCAATACAAGAATTGTTGGCCCAAAAACAAGTGTGTGTTGTCAGCCTTCTACCCTATTTCCCAGATTTCTATCCCTGTGATTATTTTCTATTCCCAAAATTAAAGTTTCGATTGAAAGGAGGCTTTTTTAACGATTTTGATGACATCCAAAGGGCCGTAACATCGGCTTTAAGGGTCATAACAACAGAAGAACAACAAAGGTCGTTCCAGTGTTTCTTAGATCGTACCACTTGCTGTATCAATGCACAAGAGGCTTACTTTGAATACAATACAGGTTACATCGTCAACTGTTGATTATTTTAATTTTTATGTCTTAGTCTCATTACTTAATTTTTGAACCTTGTAATTAATTAATCCACCTATCCTTCCTACGACGTTGCAACAAACATTCACACCAAATACGAATCAAAAGCGTCTGAAGATTGTCATCATTGTTAGCATAAGTTAATGTTAATCTTAGTTTCAGCTTCATAGCACGTGTCACCCCATGGTTGATCCGCTTCTGTGCCAACGAAAAACACACAGAATGTCTATCACAGTCCGTTGTGGAGAGATTTTTTTTTTTTAATCGATCACCGGCTGTGAATTCCAGTGGAAGGTCACGGTTAATCCTCCGCTTGGACTTTTGGCTTTCACCTGGACCTGATTTTTGCGTGTACAACCGTTTTTCATTTCCCTGCCTCATGGGCAGCTGTACTCCGACTTCGAAGGAAGACGTCAGGCCTATTTATAGGTTGACTGTGGCCATTTTTTTGTGTGGGTCGGGACGTTGCCTGATTTGTGTGGTGTCCACTTTGTTCCCTTTGTCGCAGGTATTGCCCTCGGAGTACCCTTTTGGGGCAGCCCCCTGTGGAACAGTTAGCCCTCAAGGGAAGGCAGGGGCAGATCATGGGCATTCCCCGCCATCCAAGGAGGCTTCCATGCATGCAGAGCCGGCACGTGGCGCTCTGGTTCTGGGCTCACCCAAGGAATCGTCACGTCCTGCACATGCCTGCTTAACCTCACAACCGTATCAGGCCTCCCGCTCGACAGGGGCTGCGCCCTCTGGAAGTCAGCGGGGAGCAGCCCGTGGATTTTGGACTTTTGTGGCCACACAGATAGGTACGTTCTTTTTTCTTCGCACGTTAGATTTCTTTGACGAGCCGTTAGCCCGACAGAATTTTACATCCTGTATCCGGCATATCGTTATCCGTTCTGTCCCAACACTCGGGCGAGTGGGGTCTTTGGGTGTGGACATTCGGTCTTTTTCAGTTCAATACAAGTTTTGATGGTCAGATTTTGATCCGTATGGTCTAGTTTTGTCGGACAATTAGGCTTAGCCGTCCGATGGATGGTTGCTGTTGCGGTGTACCTCAGCGCGGTGACGACGACACTGAGGGTTAACAGAGGATGTGCAGTGAACAATGTTCTCTTTGCTCCGCAGTCTTTTAACCATGGGTTGTAATTTTGGCTGTACGTTTGGCAAACCTACTCATGTTCCTAATGAGTTTTGATAACATTTTTCACCCAAGCGTTTGGGGGCGGGCTGATGAGAGCCACAAGGACACATCACCTCTGGGGGCCGCCGAACTCCGAGATCCCCTGACAGCTCTGTTAATGCTCATTTGAGACATTATCCGTGGCGCACGACGAGGACGTGCTGTAGGGGTCTTGCGTGAGGTTCCGTACAACCAGGATAGTTAGGGACTGGCGCCCGAGTGACGTACGGAGTATCTCCTTATACACATCATGTTGGACTTAACTTCCCCTCACGCCTGTGACAAATATCACCGCGCATACACATGCATTAAAAGAATACGGAAGCCATCAGAAATGCTAACACAAACAGTCCGACATTAGAAATGTAGTTCATCATCGACAGTAGAAGAGGTAGCCAACAAAAAAGCAGTTGCACACGCGATCAATGTCAATCACATAAGGGCACCACCAATATTGTTTCAGGCCACGCTTTTTTCTGAATCTATAATTCACAACACAGCACCACGTTGGTCACAATCGAAAAACATTCAAAATAAAATCAGCAGCTCACAGGGTCGCACTGTGCACTCAACTCAGAAGCTGGGTGACTAAACTATATTCTTTCAGTCTACAAATGGAGCAAAAATGCAACGGCCACTATCTGGCAGAAGACAAACTTGTCCACGACTCGAAACAGTAGCCGTGCCTAGCATCCATTTTGACTGGGAGTGTCAGTACACTGGACAAGAAAAACTGAACCTGAAAAGTGATCTATTCTTACCATATGTGTCTGTATGATAATGAGTTTAACACCTGTTCATGATATTGTATAAATTTGAATCTTCTAGTAGTAGTTCACCAGAAAATACTTCCACAGTTTAACGTAAATCATCTTCTGTTTGAAACCACTGATTATTTTAAATCACTACAGGTGAAATGGTTCGGCCATGCAACTCAGATGTAAACACACAGTATACCACAGCAAGGAATTAGGTGCAGACCAGATGGGAAGCGAAGTAGAGGCCGACTATGCAAGTAATGGTCAGAGGAAATTACAGAGTCACTGGGAATCTGTTTTCACGAAGCCTACAAACGGGCGCTTTCAGGCAAAAACCGCAAGGCATGAAAAGATGAGAATGAGATGAGATGATTGTAAAACTAAGTAACCAAATGGAAACTGGAACTACTCCAATTTTTAAATTAAATTCACCCAAAAAATCTGTTATCTAAAACACATCATGATTGTTTGTAAAATAGTTGATATGATAGCATAACGTCATGCACACTTCGCATGATTTTTACCAAATTTTTTTATTATATTCTCAAAGACGTCAGTCTCAGCACTTTATTTTTATTTACTCTGTGTATGTGATCCTAGAGAGAGGTCCAATGTAGCCTTGTGATATTTCTGTCATTCTAATTACCAATTGTCACCAGAGAACGAGTTTCACGTAGTTGAAAAGTTTATGTTGTTCTCCTTTGCTACATTCCCACACGTACACGTTTCGGTCTGCTTTCATGTAGTGATGTTTCAGTTGTTCTCCTTTGAGACATCTCTACACGTACACATTTCGATAGGCTTTAACGTAGTTGTGACGTTTCTTCTCCTTTGCTACATCCCTATACGTACACATTTTGGTCTGCTTTTATGTAGTTGGGATGTTTCTGTTCTTCTCCTTTGTGACGTCCCTATATGTACACATCTCGGTCTGCGTTCACGTAGATGTGACGTTTCTTCTCCTTTGGGACGTCACTACACGTACGCATTTCGTTCTGCTTCGATATAGTTGTGACGTTTCTTCTTCTTTGCGACATCCATACACGTACACATTTCGGTCTGCTTTCACGTAGTTGTGACGTTTCTGTTCTTTTTTGCGACATCCCTAAACGTACACATTTCGGTTCTTGTATGTTATTTCCCTCCAACAGAATAGTCTAATATTTTAGGTAGTGATAGGATGAGATGGGGAATTCCCTGTACATTACGTGGCGCAGTGTGCT